TATCCTTTCCACCATTACCCCTTCCTCTGCAAAGAGCCCCTAGTGTTCCTTGGGAACTTGTCCTGCACTGGATATAACCCCGGTGGGACTGCATATTCCTGGCTAAGAAATGCAGCACGACCTCAGTCGGCCATTAGCTCAGGCTTCCAAAACTGAAGCCAAAAAAAAAAAAAAAAAAGAGAGAAATTAAAAAAATTTTAAAAAGAGCAAATGGAAAATTCATTAGTAAATTAATTTACAGAAATATAGAAAATATACAAATAAAATTAGAGGTAAAAAAGAAATTAAAATAAAGCATAAGGACCTCTCTGGACCAAGCACAGGCTGCCATGTGAGTGAGACACTCTGCTGTGCTCTTGGAACTCCTCCACCCATCTGGATCCCACACAAGCCTACTAAGTGAGTGACAACATCTGCTGCGCTCTTGGGACCCATCACACCCAGTCCAAGCCCAGGCCCAGCACATGTATGGGAGAGATTCTGTCCTCTCCTGTACCCCATGGACTACTTCAGACCCAGCGAGGCATCGTATACAGGCCTGGGGTGCAACTCTACAGCTGAATTCCCTGCAGAGAGACTAGGAGCCAGACCCACTCAACTAATGCAGGAACAGAACATCTTGCCAGAGGGGCACAACAGGTTAACTTCTAAGGGCTGCAGTAGGAAGGAGCTGAACACAACAGGCAGACAAAAGCCAAGCATAACTGGATGAACTCAAACATAGTAGATCTGCACCTGAATATCAGTAGGTGCTAAGGTTACAACTGCACCAAAGCTCTACACCAAAGGTCAGAGGACAGTGCTTTACAAATGACAAAGAGAAAGAGCAAAATGCAATCTCAGGCCCTGAGCCCACCCAGAACAAGTACAGAGGATGGTAGCACAGAAGAAATTGGGAATCGCACAGCTGATATATCTGAATCAATAGCGTTTGAAAAAAAAAATTATAGAAAGGTTTAGAGGAACTCCGATCGGAAATAAACACTGAATAAAAAAGAAATCTCTGAATTAGTACCGTCTGGAGTGAAGAATCAAATGCAGGAACATATAGAGGAAATCAAATCAGAAATAATCACTGTAGAATTGTTCACCTGCAAGATTAACAATGTGCCATTGATAGGCATCGATTAGAAAGAAGGAGTCAATATGAATGATTTCAAAAGAATATGAGCAGAAGTAACAGCAGAAAACTTCCTAAATATCAGGAAACAATCTGCTATTCAAGAAACCAAAGCATACAGAACTCCAAATAACTTCAACCTAAATAAAAATACACTAAGACATATAATAGTCAAGATACCAAGACCCAGTCCTAGCCCAGGTCCGGTGAGTGTGTGGAGAGCTTCCTGCAACCCTGCGCCGGCGGGACCAGTCCCAGGCCCCCTCGGGCTGCCCCCCACACCTCCCGCCGAGTAGAAACTTCTGCCGACTTCCAGGAACACCCAGACCCAGTCCTAGCCCAGGTCCGGTGAGTGTGTGGAGAGCTTCCTGCTACCCTGCGACGGCGGGACCAGTCTCAGCCCAGGGGCAGCATAGGCAGGACCCTCTCCCACCGCCTCGGGCCGCCCCCCACCACTCCACCTTACCTACCCCACCCCGCCCGCCGAGTAGGAATTTCTGCTGAGTTCCAGGAACCCCCAGACCCAATCCGAGCCCAGGTCCGCAGTGGGAAGGAGCTGAGCACAGCAGCCATACCTAAGCAAGACGCAGCTGGATAACTCCAAAATCTGTAGAGCTCCACCTGAACTTCAGTACGTGGGAAGGTTATAACTACAGCAAAGATCTACAACAAAGGGCAGAAGACAGTGCTACACAAAATGA